AATATTGTTAGTTTGTTTATTTCGTTCCAGTTCAAGCTCTTACATAAGAGTATTTGAGGATTTTATGCAATATTTGAATAAAGCACACGAGATTTTAGGGGATTTAAGTAAACTTTCAATGTAAATCTGAAGCACTAGTTCGTTGAATGAGCTTTTAAGAGATTTACGTGCAAAGAGGCACCCAATAATTATTTTTTTAAAATTTTGGTCCGTTATATAACCCTTTGCATTATAGAACACTGTGTTGTGAAATTTGTAAAATAATATCGTTATTATTAAGAACAAGGTGTCTGAAATGGAAGTATCACACTACCCGAATAGAATTATCATTTACTTCCAGTTTTGCTGCAAAATATCAGCTACAGAATGTCACCAAATTATGTATACAACTTTAGGTACTAATTTTGTATCATATGACATTGCGAAGGTTTGGTACCGAAGTTCAAAAACAAGAGCTATGACATTCAAGAAGCACAGCGCTCTGGTCGGCCTAGTGACGTTGATGTGGTCCACCTAAGAGAGCTTGTGGAAGAAGATCATTATGCAACCACTCGAGAGTTTGTTAAGGAGTTAGAAGTTAGTGTCATGTTCATTAGTCGCACTATGAATTGTATAAACTTGATTTACAAGTTCAATGGCTGGGTACTGCATGAACTGACTCAAGCAAGTAAAGACAGACGTCTTCGGGCCTGCACTAGGCTGCTCGAATATCAACGCAAGGGCAAACTTCTGAACCGGATCGTCACTTGTGATGACAAGTGGATTTACTTCAACAACACAGGCCGAAAAGAGGGTTGGTCTGCGCCCGGTAAACCCTTAGGCTGCGTCTCAAAGCACAATTTGACTAACAAAAAGATCATGCTTTGTATCTAGTGGTATTATCCATAAATCTGGAACAGGGTAAGAACCTCGACAGTAAGGTATACAGTGAAATGCTTGTCCGTGTTACGAAGGAAAAGCGTCGAACTGACTTTCGGCGCAAAAAGGCAATGTTCCATCAAGACAATGCAAGACCACATGTGGGACTACGGATTCGAATGGGATCTTTTGCCACAACACCATATAGCCCCGACATTGCTCCTTCGGACTTCTACATTTTTTTAACACCTGCAGCTACATCTTGGTGACATCTTGCATACTGCACTGGACATCCGAAATGAGGTTAAACTGTTTTTGGACTCACGGCCACCAAGTTTCTGGGCTGAAGGCTTTGAAAAACTGCCAAAACGGTGCCTGAAAATTATAGATTTAGGTGGGGATTACTACCCGCATTAAATGTATTACTTTCATGTTTTTTTCTAACTTTATTAAGAACGTTGTTTGGCGAAAAACCTTCGTTACAACCAGATATATTGGCTTTCATAAATTTTGGAACGCTTACGAAGTTAACATAAATTTCTGAATAAGACAGAATTAAAATAACGAACTATGCCTATTTTTCCCCTTTTTAAGAATTGCATCTTAATTTTATGTAGCTTAACCTTCATATATAATTACAAATTAATCAAAATAATAAATTAAGTTCAAAATAAACTTTTAAAATTCTTGAACTTAGGATGGCATAAATAAAACACCAAGAAGAATGCGTTATGCTTTCAAATTGAAAATTTATTCAAATGTCATTTTACTTGAAAAACTATTTTTACAATTAATTAGACAAGATCTTTACTGATTTTTTTTATTCTTCTGGCAACATAGGTTTATCTCTTTCTCGAAAGAAACTACATGTTTTGGTATTTTTTTTTAAAGCTTGTGTCAAATATACTCTAAAATATTTATTTGTCAGACTGGAAATAACGCGTGAAAGCCTTCAGGTTGATTGTAAGGAAACCAGAGATCGATGTGTTATCTTAGCGATATAACTGACCGAAGATCAGTTCGGTATGTTTTGAATGTATGTATTGCTAAATATATATACATTATTGCAAAGTATCTGATATATTTTAAAACATTTTTTTTATGTCTGCTGGATTGGAATATTTGATGATTACTTTCAGTTGCGTTTTGGATTGGATTATATGACTATGGGAAGCACACTATCCCTAGCTAGCTAATGTGATGTATGCTTCCGTGGAGGATATTCTAAAACACAAATTGGCGCGTATTCATGTTATATATGAGGGAAACCCACACCTATGTTTCCATCTCAATTACCATGATTCGAACCGACTTGAATTTCCAATTTTTAGCAGTTAGCATTTCGACCACTGGTGAGCTTCAGATGTCTTCAAATTCTGTTTTCTGTATATTTAAATATACAGAATGTTTCAGAAAATCGGTTACAGAATTTCAGGAGTGATAGAGTACATCAAGAAGATGGAAAATCGTACATGGAAATGCATGGTCGGAAACGCTTTCCTGCCGTCGTAGTGACGACACAAATTACAAGAAAAGGAGGACACGAGCAGTGTGAGAACACATATTTATTATGCTTATTACAGCAGAAACCAAGAAATAAGAACAAAAACAGACAACGATCAGAAGAAGAAAAGCAGAAGCCCAAAGAAGGTGTTTAAAATTACGACCACGGACCATGATGCAGGAACCGTGTGTCATGTATCTTCCATGCGTGATGCATATCTTCCGTGCGCCAGAGATGTGAGGCCTGCACCACGGTCCGTGGGCATAATTTCAAACACCTTCTTTAATGACGCTCGTTGTCTAATTTTGTTCCTATTTCTTGATTTCTGCTGAAAATTAAGCATAATTAAGCATAATAAACTCCTTGTTCCTGTTCTTCCATTCTTGCATTTTGTATTGTCACTACCACGCCAGGAAAGCCTTTTCGACCATGCATAGCTATGTGATTTTGCATCGTCTAGGTTAACTCTATCTCGCCTGAAAGTTTATAACAGATTTGCTGAAACATCCTGTATAGGATGATCTACTGTACCTTAAATAAAATTAGTTAATGAAACCCACTGGCAAGTTTTGCATATATTTGAACTGTCAAACTACCTTCACCATTATTTCGCTGCCGTCTTCCTATTCTCTTCCCAAGAAAGGTTATTAGTTTTTCATTTGATTTAAAATATCCATTTTTGTTGTCAGCAAAACTTATATTATTCCAGAAAATTCAGTTTTCATTATTACAGAGCTAACTGACAACTGAAATTTAATAATCTTTACTTCCTACAAAACCTCCATTAGTCTACTTATCTGCTATGTATGGATGCTGTTAGAATAATTTTCAATTTATAAGCTATGCGGATTCTTACAATCTAATGCAGAAAATATTCCTTATTTTGAATTTTTTTTAATTTCATTTAACATGAAGTTATGTTACATACTAACAATTTCAAAATTCACTGTACTTTTTTCTTGATAGGCTAGTGTTTTTTATGTTCATAAATAAAAATTTAAATCTTTGAAAATTTCAGATATCTTTCTAAAAGATTAACTCTTTTTAAAATAGAAAAGTTTAGTTCTTATTCATGTGTCTTTCTACAGTTACACGCATTTACAATAATATAACTGAATTATGACATTTCAATTATCAGATGCATTAATTAATTACAATTAAAATTAAATTAGAAAAAGTGCTATAAAGAAGGGGACATAAATTATACTAATATATGCATACATAAAGAATATTATTATTACAATAGGCTTAATTTTTAATGCAGAAATTTATATAGATATAAATAAGTTACAGATGCTATCTCTAACCGAAGTACGTAATTTATGACTCAGAAGTTTCCTTGTCCACTACATTAATTTTATGAATATTAATAAAATACTAACCACTACAAACATCCATCATCCAGTTAACAGAAAAGACGGAAATTAAAATTTTCATCGAAAAAGAAAAAAAAAATTATAAATTATAATTACATATTATTTTAATTGTCTTCTTTGTGCTGCTGATAAACAATGAGTTGTTATAATTTGGAAGATAAATGAAGGACGATATGCTATGTATATTGGCAATATTTTTCTATTTATGTCAAAACAAAACCGTCTGTTCCCATCTAAGAAGTAGGGAAATAATTTACATCAAGAAACAGAAAACTGAAACTTGAAGGTAAGTAAATCACGGTGAAAACGAACTTCACAGAACCAGAGTTAATGCTTAGTTTCTTTAAAGCCAGCAATTTGTATTTTTTCATCGTTTTGAAACAATACAATATCGCATTATTGTCCACAGAACCACTTTTAAATGTCGCCACTAAACTTCAACTAAAAGCCTTTCAAAGTTAATAAAGAAAATCCCGTAAAATACTGTCAGAGTTTTTCTCTTTTAAATACAAACCATTTTCTTCCATGCTCCTTTGAAATCCTTACACCGTGGCGTCCTCAACCTTCCCTCAATTTAACCTCAGTAGGGACTCGTTTCTCTTTTAGAGAAAAGTATATAAGGGGGAGAAGGAGAGAAAAAAATGAATCCTGTTTCTGCCTAGAATTTATTTTTCATTCTACTTAGAACAAGGAATAGAGGAAACTATTCAAAAAAGGAGAAAAGGAATCCAAACAATTGCAGAAGCAAAGAATACACATTGGAGCTAAAAAAATAAAATAAAGAGAAACGGAGTGAGCAAGAGTATTAAAAGAATATAATCTGTTGCGAAGAGGACGGGGGGAGTAAGAGAAAAGCAATCCACATTTTACGAATCGTTTATTTTTGAAGTTATGTTTTCTTCTGCAGATACTGTATTCTTTAAACATCCATGTTTTTGAAACGCGTACATGGAATAACCACGCAAAAGTAGATTCATTTTTCTGTCCCCCTCCCCGAACTTTTCGAAAGAACAATGGGAAATATGCAGAATTATATATTTGTTTCACTTTAGTATAAGAAATGTTTTGGGTTTATTTAGGATTTTGTTTTGCTGTGTGTCTGAAAAGTATATTTCATTTGTAGATATGTTTTTGAACTTTATCTAAACTATATTTTAAATTCTCGCGTGTAAGTATCTAGATATTTTGATAGTTTGATTTATCTTGAAATTGAATTTTTTGGTGTTAGGAAAGTTTACAGTCTTATCTTTTCATTTCTTTAGGTCAGGTTACTTTTCGCAAACAAGGCAGAAATCATCTTCACTACATGAGAAATTGCTGCTGTGAGATCAACTGTCTAAATTTGTAATGTGAGGTGCTTGTATTAAATAGTTTCCTATTTAAATGGAATATATAAGACTTCTTAGTATTTTATATACTGGACATAAGAAATTATTCATAAACATTGTACACATTGTTATTATTATTATTATTTTAATTGATAACTTTAGATTTTTATTATTGCTACGAATCATAAAAGATTTTTGCAATGCTATATATTACATATTGTTTTCTGGAGCAGTTACACATAATGCTGGGTGGATTTAAAGAACCGGCACTATAGTCTTATTCGTTGTCAAGCTGTAATGTAAACATATAAGGTATGGCTTCTCTTTGTTTATTGCTTATGAAGCAATGAAGTAAATTATTTTAGTTGAAAAGTTAGTTTCAAAGAAAATAAAGAAGGTTAAAAGCTCTAGAAAGTTTTTGGAAGATTTAAAATAAGACTTTATGGCTTATTCCAGGGATGTTCAGAGTTTTCCAGGGTACGGGCTATTTTAATTTTTTCAAGGTGTTGCGGTCCACTCAGTGGTGTAGGTGTAGCAAGCTAAGAAACAAGGTCTACATTATTTATTAGTCCAAACGGACTTGAGTCCCGAAGGACTATTACTTTCGTTTTGGCATTTTGCGTCGGACGGATAAATGTCGGTTCACTTTTCAAACTGTTGCGATAAAATGTTAGAGTCCTGCATTATATTTGAAGAAATTAAATAATGAAAATCTGCGTAAATGTATGTATATTTCTCACATTGTCATAAAAATAACGGTACATAGAGTCATCGAATTTTGAATACGTAATACTCCAACGAATATGAGCATGTGGAAGACCAAATTTGAAATTTGAAATTTGTTTTATGATCGATTTCCTATTTTTTAAAACTTTGACGAATTTTTGATTAACAAACTCAAGGATTTCAAAGCGAGCAATGGCAAGGTTGTGCAGAAAACATTTTTATCTCCAGCGCTGAGTCTCTGTATCGGAAATTCTAAAGAATGCTCGCTTTAAAACTATTTGCGATATTGCTGTTGCGCTGGATCTTAGGTTTAAGTGCGAGTAACATGATATTTAAAAAGAAAGGTCCATAAATACTAATTCAGAAGTCAAACAACAAATCAGCGTTATATTTACAAATTTTCACGGGTTCGTTTTGATTTTACCGAACCATCTCAGCTGCAAAACCGCAAATGAACAGAAGGAAAATGATTAGATAAGAATGTAATTATATTAATTTAATATTTATATAATATGAATTAGTAAGAATCTATCTAATCATTATTTCCTATCTTGTTCATTTGCGGTTTTGCAGCTGAGATGGTGGTTCGGTAAAACCATCGAAACTAGTCCTGTGAAAATTTTGTAAATATAACGCTGATTTTTGTTGTTTGACTTCTGAATTAGTATTTATTCGGCGTGTTATTGTGTCTTAACACACAAAATGTTAAAAAACGCCCCTTTGGACGTAATTTAAAATCTGAAACATTTCAGATTTTTTTTTATAACTTAATATTAAATACGGAATATGTTCTTACCTACCTAACTCTACATAAAAATACTTATGCTTTTAAAACCACGTTTAAATCAAAACGCAAGATACAAACATAATAATAATAGTCACAAATATAATAATTTAAAATGATGCATTTTTTATCGAACAATTCAAAGTACGTTAAAAAATGAATCATTTTAATCTAAAGTTAGTTCTCGAAGTTATAGTTTGGAGAAGACTTGGTCTGCATATTGTCCGCCAGTCTTGAAAATCTCGGTATATAATTACTAACTGGTAATCTTGCACTGGATTCTAAGTGGTCGTCTGTGATACGGGAACGGTATGTTCTCTAAATTATATTCATTGTTGAAAATGCAGATTCGCACAGGTAGGCACAGCCAAAGAACAATGTTAAATGAAATGCTTCATCCATGAGATCCCAAAAGTCATCCTTAGGTTCTGAACTACATACTTTTAAAAATATATCATTTTGAAGGAGAAAAACTTTTTCTCTCAAGAGATAAATAGAATATGTAAGTTATATTTTCAACTGGTTCTTCCACATCAACATTGTCAAATGGGTAACAAATGATGGTTAAGTAATTCTTGAAAACGTCTCTCAAATTCTGAGTGAAGTTTTATTATTTCAGCATAATATTTCTCTTCGTTTAATGTACCTCCGTTTTTAAACAACTCGTCAGAAATATTTTTAAAAAATTCAGTTCGTTCTGCCTCAGCTGGGAAGATATTAGCTTGTTTTGGAAAGTATTAACAACAAAAGGCAAATCCATCAACCAAACGTCATCACCAAGTTCAAAGTATTATTTATCATTTGATTCCAAAAAATCTCTTACCTCTTGTAGTAGGTTCCTGAATCTTTGTAAAAATATACTTCTGCTGAACCAAAGACCATGTGAATGATATAATAATTCAGATCAGATTAATCATTTGAATATTAACCAGATCCATCTTCTTCTATTGGGCCCGAAATATTCTTCTCTGAAGCGTTCTTCCTCGAACTGAGTTCACAGGTTTCATGCAGATTCTCATAACATGACGCATATTTAGAATTTACAACAGAGGTTTTGTTGGTAAATAATGCAACGATAAGTAAGGAAATGCGGTATGTCATTGTCTCTGATCAGAGCCAGATTTAGACTTGATAAGGCCCTAAGCTATTTCAGATATGGGGCCCTTTATAAGTCTGTTATAATATATTTTAATACTATTTATACTAGTATATTTTAATTTTTGGGGGATCCCCCAAGAAAGTGGGGCCCTAAGCTATAGCTTGTGTAGCTTATACGTCTGTCTCTGATACACGTAGCCAAAAATCCATTGACTGGGCCAGTCATTGATGGGGGTTCCATCAGCTGTCATCGGTATAACTTTATCAATTGGAATTATTTTACCCTCTATGTATTTTTTGAAGGCACAGTAAACATCTTCACTCGTCGTTTCTTCTTTAGAGGAAATGTTAATTATTCTTCTTTTACACTCATATCCTTGGTTATAAAAACGCAAAGTCGAAAAATATCAACCATCTCCGTAGATTTGTCAAACTGCAAGGAAATGCAAATGCAGTTTAGTTATATCTTGGGTCAGCTGATCAGCCAGATCGGAACTCATCATTTCTATACTGCGCGTGACAGTTCTACGCGAAAGTTGTACGTATTTAATTGAGGAAATAATTTCATTTTTGTTCGTGAATGAATCAAATAACGATTTGTAGGCTTCAAGAAACTTCTTTTTTATCATTTCTCCATCTGCGAAAGGTTTCTTATGCTTTGCTAACACATAACTCACACGGAAAGATGCAACTGTTGCAGCCTTAGATAAGTCTTGGGTTTAATAAAATATGATTGCTGTCCGATTAATTGCGATTTGAATTCTCTTAACTTTTGTTTACGCAATTCGTCTTTTAATGGTAAATCTGTATCCAAACTTCCCTGCATGCTTTGAAATGCATTTCAACTAAAAAAAAAACTGTTATACCTATTTTGTATTATAATTTCATGGTTTTTCTTTTCTTAACACTTGTTTCGACCTCTTTTAAATTGTTTACTTGTTTCTTCTTTCTTTAAACCACCTCTTTTAAAATATGACAGGTTTACTATTTTTATTACAAAGACACAATAACACAAAATTGTCAAGACGAATATTCGAAGAACTTGAGCGACCGTAGAGCGTGGACGTATGCAAAGCAGCGAACATACGTATACCGATGAAACTGTAACCGATCCATATATTTAATCGTCAGCGTGCGCTTCAAGTGAAGGTACATGAATGTGTATTCATTGAATCATTTGCTGAACTAAACAGTCGTCGCATCGTCTGTGTAAAGCCGATTCTTAAGTCTAGCTGGCGTCGGTTTTCCATTAATACGTTTCTTTTGGTATGCGCGTCTTAGGTCTTAGTAAAGGCGGTCACCTCATAATGCCTTGGTAGTCCACCGGTCGATCGCGATCGGCTAAATGCCCACCCCTGTTCTATAGGAACTGTCTCGTATGCACATGGGACCCAACCTATCGGCCATTCGCAGACAACTCATTTGGCATCAACTGCATCAGGACAAGTTTCCAGTCTTATTAACTCGGCTATTTTTAGTCACGAACATTAATAAAAAAAATAAAAAAAAGCCAAGTAATATGACTGAATTTGACAAAGCTCACGAGGATTATCTGCTTAAGAGAAGAAATGCCTTCATAAAGGAATGAAGGGAAACTGGACACGGGGAAATGAACGTGGGATGTTCAACGCATGACGAAAACTATGAAAAATCAACCATGCACAGGCCGTTCGCCTGGTATCAATTCCCAGTCGAACTACCAATATTCAACGGTTTTAACCACTTGGCCACTGGTGAGGCCGGAAAAAGCAGGAGCGTAGAATTTGTTTTTTAAATGCTGCTAAGAAGTATTCCCGCAATAAGGAATATTTCTTTAAATGAAAGTTTTTTTTTTAGCTTATTGAAAGCGATTACTTGTTGATTTCTGTTAAAGAAGAAGGAAACAAATGACGCCATAAAATTAATTGCATTTAGTGGAATTCAAACCAGCGATGGAAATATGTTAGAAAACTTTTAGGAAAGTCAATTAATTTCAGCATGAAAATCATGTTCTCTTTATGTCAATTTTACAATCCACATAGGATTATTCATGTAAATTAGGAGTTGTCGGGAATTCTGAAACCTTAATAAACTTATTATGACAGCAAATTTTATATAACGAAAATATGGGATAATTTCCGTTATAGGAACCCAAACAATTTTTTAGAGAAAGACAGACACATGTGCCAGCGTTGTCTATTAGCCACCTTTAAATTAAATGCGTTATTTTCACAACAGTGTTATGGCCTCCAGGTAAGGAACACGGATGCAAGTTGTACATCAAAGAGACAACTCTGTTAAAGAAATGTATCTAAAAATAACTGAAATCGATTACTAAACGACATGGAATCAAATCATAAATGCAGCAACGTGATATTAATAGCATTTTGGAGAAAACCTATTTTAAACTGTTATGTGTAATTTGCATAATATT